GCATTAGAACGATCAAGTGGGATTAGACTAATGTAATATGTAATGTAATATGTCACAGGAAAACTTAGAGAGGGCAACAAGTTTATATTAGTGAGGGAGGAATAGTTCAGAAAAGAAGAATGGTTGCACAGCTAGAATCATTGTCGTCATTGTAAAACTCTAGTCTGGACCCCTCCTAGTACCCCTGAGAGTACTTATTGTTGTTATGTGCCATAAAGTCACTTGCGACTCATAACAACCCTCTCATACAACAGATCTGAACCTTGTCTTATCCTGTGCCAACCCTATTGTCTCTGACACACCTACCCCCAGTACCCCAGACACTGAATCAATCCATCCCATCAAGGGTCTTCCTCTCTTGTGCTGTCCCTGCACCCTCCCAAGCATGACGTCCCTCTCCAAGGACTGGTACCTCCTTGCAGCATGCCCAAAGTGTGTCAGACGAAGCTTCAGAGTCCTTGACTCCAAGGAGAAGCCTGGCTTCACCCTCTCCAGGACAAACCTATTTGTTCTCCTAGCAGTCCATGATATATTCAATACTCATCTCCAGTACCACAGCTCAAAGACATCAGTTCTTCTTCTATCAGCTCTAGTCATTGTCCAGTTTTCTGACACATAGCAAGTGATTGCGAAGACCATGGCCTGGAACAGGCACACCTTAGAGGGATTAAATAAATGATCAAATCTCTCTCAGACTGTACCTCCATCAAGCACAGTTTACAATCCGTAAGACAATTCTTAAGAATTTTCACTTCCTTCCAAAAATAACCCTGTCTCTTCACTCATATCTTGTCCTAAAGCTTGTCTATCAAGAACCATAATCAGCGTGATAATTCTGTCATATAGCTCATATTATGGGGGAAACATTCACCTGCTAACCAAAAGGTTGGCAGTTCAAATTCACCAGCCACTGCAGGGTGCAAAGATGAGTCATTCCCTTCTGTAAAGATTTACAACGTTGGAAGCCCCATGGGGCAGGTTTGCTCTGTCCTGCACGCCTGCTGGATGTTGTCGTTGACTTCATGGCAGTGGGTGGTAGAAAGATCATCTAGAGATCTGTACCTGTGACTGATTTGTCTCTTGACAGTGACTCCTGTTTATTCTCTTGCTTTTCTGTGTATCTTGTAATTTTTACTGGCTGGCAGTTGTTCTGTTTAAAAATTTAAAAAGTTAAAGCCTAAAGGGACTGCAGTCTTCAGTATGGATTGAGACTTAATGTCAAGAAAACAAAGATTTTCATCACTGGGCCAGTTGGCCGCATCATAATGGGTGGTGAAGAGATTGAGATTGTTCGCAGTTTTGGTTTGCTTGGCTGTGGAGTCAACACTCCTGGCACCAGCAGCCAGGAAATTAAAAGACGTATTGCGATGGGAAAGTCTGCACTTAGAGACCTCTCTATAAAGTCCTGAAGTACAACGATGTCAGTCTGGAGACTAAGGTGCACCTGATACAGGCCATGGTCTTTGCAGTCACTTGCTATGCATCAGAGAGCTGGACAATGACTAGGGAGGATAGAAGGAGAATTGATGCCTTTGAGCTGTAGTGTTGGAGAAGAGTATTGAATATACCATGGACTGCTAAGAAAACAAACAGGTTCATCCTGGAGAGCGTGAAACCAGGCTGCTCCTTGGAGGCAAGGATTCTGGGGCTTCGTCTAACATACTTTGAACATGTTGTAAGGAGAGACCGATCCTTGGAGAGGGACGTCGTGCTTGGCATGATGGAGGGACAGTGCAGGAGCGGAAGACCCTCCATGAGCTGGATTGATTCAGTGACCGGGGTAATGGGGGTAGGTGTGTCGGAGACAGTGAGATTGGCACAGGATAGGACAGAGTGTAGGGCTGTTGTACATAGGGTCGCTAGGAGTTGCAGGCACTTAACAACAACAATACCCTAAAGTCCATTTTCATAGATATGTGTGTATTTTCTCTACATATATACGTAGCTCAGGTGGCCTAGTGGGTAAAGAGTTGTGCTGTGAATTCAAAAGCAAATGGTTCGCCTACACCACGCTGAGAGAAAGGTGGGCAGTCTCCTCCTGTGCAATTTACAGCCTCTGAAAGCCCACTAGAGGGTCAGCTCTGAACTGATACTGGCTCAGTGGCAGAGAACAATAGCAGTGCTATGTAGATAGATGTACTTGTGTGTTTATGTGTATGTCTTGAGGTTGTTGTTGTTAAGTGCTGTCGAGTTGCAAGCGACTCATAGCAACCCTATGAAGGAGAGTCCTCAACGTGTATATTTGATATGCATATAAAATATGTTTATACATATAATTATTTCTTTTTACCACCATTTCCACCCCAAAAGGAAGGAACACCCCTTTCTTTATTAGATACCTAGAGCAGAATGTATAAAGAGACCTGGTTGTTTTTGTTGTTGTTAGGTGCCGTCGAGTCGTAGATGACTCAGAGCGACCCTATGAACAAAAGGCCTTGAGCACTGTTCATAGAGTGTCTGAAGGCAAGCCATTTCGGAAGTAGATGCCACTCCTGCTTCCAGGCGTGTTTTAATCGGGGAGCTCCACCAAACACTATCCACCATGGGTGACTATTATCATATTTGACACATCAGTGTCACAGTGTTTAGCATCACAACAGCCATGAGTTACCTCTGTACAGCAAGTAGACAGACAAGTGCTAATACCACCTAGAAGAATGTTTGACAAAAAAAAAAATACCAATTTGAACCAAGCCTGAGTGCCACAGATTAAAATCACCAAACTTGGGCTTAGTAACATCACTTTCTGTCCACTAGGCCAATTGAACTCTCTCTATGTTATTGCTGTTATTGTTGTTAGGTGCCGTTGAGTCGTAGACGACTCATAGCGACCCTATGAACGAAAGGCCTGAGCACTGTTCATAGAGTTTCTGGAGACCTGGTAGCATAACAATTAAGTACTTAGCTGTCAATCAGAAGGTTAGTGGTTCGAACCCACTGAGCAGCTCCAAGGAGAAGGGCCTGGCCATCTGCTTCTATAAAGACTGAGGCCTGGGAGATGCTGTGGGCTAGTTGTGCTCTGTCACATCATTGTGTCGGGTGTCGGAATCCGCTCGGGGCCCGCAACACAAGAAGAACACCACAGTGAGAGGCTCTTCAGTCTGGTCCCGTCAGGCGTTGAGCTGGCTGGGGACAGGGTTGCAACTTTAATGCAATCTCCTTCCTCTTGTGTTTCTGCTCGTTCATCTCTCTCCGCCTCTGGTCACCCCCTCTCGCCCGTCCCCCTGTATGCTCTGCTCAGCTAATCTGTCTCCCTCGACCCCTTCTCTCTCTCACCTCGAAGCTCCTGGCCGAGGAGAAGGCGGCCGTGCTGCGGGCCGTGGAGGAGCGGGAGCGGGTCGAGGCCGAGGGCCGGGAGCGTGAGGCTCGCACGCTGGCCCTGACACAAGCCCTGACCGAGGAGCAGGAGGCCCGGGAGGAGCTGGAGCGGCAGAACCGGGCGCTGCGGGCCGAGATGGACGCGCTCCTGAGCAGCAAGGACGACGTGGGCAAGAGCGTGAGTGGGGCGGGGGTCGGCTCTGAGGTTGGCGGTTCAAACCCAACCTCAAACCCAACACCTGGGAAAGCCCGCGGAGCAGTTCTGCCCAGCACACACCGGGGTCATCAGGAATCTCAGCCAAAACAATGAGAAAAATATGAGTGAGAATACCCCCTTGCCAGGACACACACATAGGCACTTGTGTGCGTACATATGGGATGTTCACACACACACACACACACACACACACACACCACACACACACACACACACACATAACTCTCATACATGCCACAGCGTGAAGACGGCCATCCATCAGAGTCAGGAATTCACATCCCAACAGGAACCCCAGGGAGAGCTGGGCTCCAGACATCCATGTTCATGTCCACGTGCACAGGTGAGGAGGTCTCTCCCCCAGACACACATGTGTCTCCCCCAGACATAGAACGTGAGTGCTCAGGAAGCTGCACTGCAAGCCCAGAGGTGCACGGTTCGAATCCACCAGATGCTCTGCTGGAAAAGGAGGGACAATCTCCTCCTGTACCAGTCAGATCTGATTTGACAGTACACACACAAAATAATAAAATAAAATAGAACAGGAGTGCTACTCACCAGACATAACATGTTCTTATACACAGAACACGGCAAGGATTTCCCATCAGAAATGCATTTGTGTACACAAAGAGTGTTTGGAGTTTGAATTTACACCTCCCTACAAACTCTGGGAACCCCTACACTGAGAAAAAGAAACCCAAATAAGTATTTGTAAAGTAATGGTATCTTTTTTTTTCTTAATAATTTTTCTTTATTATTATTAATTTTAATGAAAGTTTACAGAGACTTTGGATTTCCATTCATTCATTGTTGGAATTTCCTCCCTGCCCACCCCTCCCCCCAGTTTGCTCTTCTCTTTGAAAAGTAAAAGAAAATTTCTTTCATACTTATACAATCCCTCCCTCTACGTCCACTCCACTATGCAGCCTTCATTCTGGACTCCTGTCATGACAATAATACCTAATCACATAACCGTTGTAAGCAGTTTTCTCCATCATCTGTTTCAATGAAGTATAAATTATTTATCCCATCTTTCTCAGTTTTCCCCCCCAACCCCGGTGTCAGTCCCATTTTACAACAGTGGCACTATGCAGTATTTGTCCTTTTTTGACTGAGATATTTCACTCAGCATAATGTCCTCCAGGGTCACCCATTTTGAATAATATTTCATGAGTTCTTTGATTTTCAAAGCAGTATAATATTCCATTGTGTGAATATACCACAGCTTTTCTATCCATTTGTTTGTTGATGGGCGAAGTAATGGTATCTTGTGGAGTCTGAAGGAGGCCTGGTTAAACTAATCGTAGTTTTAACCTTATCTCTGAACTTTGCCCTAAAGTAAGAGCAAACTCAAGGCCTAGGCTTTGCTGAATTTAACTCTTAAATCCAACCCTCACCATAAACCTACGTGGTGGAACTCTTATCCTAAGCCGAAAATAAAACCAGACCCCACGCTTCTGCGAAGCCTTGCACCAACTCACATCCCTTCCCTGGCTGTATCCCTAACTCACAAAATCCTGCTTACAAAAAGGTGGGCGGTTCAAATCCACCAACCACTCTCTGCAGAAGCACAAGGTGTCCAGTACTGCTGCGAATCGGGGCGGACTCGGCCGCAGTTTGTTTTGCTGTGTTGTCTGGCCTATAAGCATTGGCTGCATCCAGAGCTGCTTGCTTTCCATGTATTTCAGAGAAGATTCCTGAGCTCACAAGTCCCAGAATCAGAAAGCCCGTGAGGAAATACCTCACCATGACCAAGAGTCAGCTGACCTGACAAATGCTCGAACTGGACTCTCAGACACTTCAGATAATAGAATTCCCCTGCACAGATGTTTAATATGTTTTATAATGTTACAGAATAAGACACCTAGTGAGTAGATGATTGGTAGACACTGAGTGACCCAACATCAGTCTAGATGGGCACATCTCCCTGTCTCCATCACCTGCATCACCGGAGAAGCCTACCCTGCCCCATGTGTCCCCTACTCAGTCTCCTTCCCCACCAGGTACACGAGCTGGAACGAGCCCGCCGGGTGGCCGAGCAGGCAGCCAGCGACCTGCGGACACAGGTGACGGAGCTGGAGGACGAGCTGACGGCTGCCGAGGACGCCAAGCTGCGCCTGGAGGTGACGGTACAGGCTCTGAAGGCCCAACACGAGCGGGACCTACAGGGCCGAGATGACGCTGGTGAGGAGAGGCGGCGGCAGCTGGCCAAGCAGGTACGGGCAGGACGGAGGTCCCTGCCCCAAGTGGGGTGACATGGTGCAGACAGCCAGAGACAGGCCTGAGGTCACGTTCAGCTTCCCTACCCCAGGCCTTCCTGAGAGCCACCGTCTTTCCTCAAAACCACCTTCCCGTTCTCCCATCCGTTAGTTAACCTGCCATCTCTCCAACCCAGTCACCCCGCTGCCTACCCAATGCAGCATCCATCCTCCACCCCACCCACCGCCCACCCACCTCCTTCATCCACCCACTTGCCTTCTCACCAACTTTACAGACCTTTCCGGCACATTTCTACCTGTCCATCTGCCAGCCGCCTCTGCAGCCAACCACTTTTCCATCCAGCCGGTTACTCATCTCCCTAGTAACCTCCTGAACCACCTCACCTAGCCACCTGTACACCCACCCTCTCCACCTACTGTTAGACCCAGGCATCCACCCACCCTCCATGTATGCAGTTACTGCCCACCTCCTCGACCGTCTCATCTTCAGAGCCACCCATGACACAGCCTGTCCACCTAGCTGTCCCCAGCCGTTCCTCCACCTACCTGACTGCCCAGTCACCTCCCCCAATTAACCAGCCTCTACCCATCCAACTACCCAGCGCCCTCCCCACCTACTCAGTCTCCATCCATCCAATTACCTCCCCATCTACCAACCTCCATCCATCCAGCTACCCCACCCCATCTACTCAACGTCCATCCATCCAACTACCCCACCCCATCTACTCAACATCCATCCAGTCAACCACAAAGCTTCTCCATCACCAACCCTGCACCCAACCCACTCCTCCATCTACCCACCAGCCCGTTCACCTTCCCAATCTCCTCAGCCACCCATCTGCACCATCCCAGCCACCCACTGTACAGCCTCTGCCCAACCCATGCAGTATTGTGACATGGCACTATCACTTTTTGTGATTGAATTCTGAAGTGGGAGAAATTTCTTTCTACTATTTAGCGCATTCGTTTTTGTTTCTTTGTTTCTGTTTTAATTTTTTTTTTAATTTTTTTATTGTATTATTTTTACATGTACCATCAAATCAGATCTGACTGGTACAGGAGGAGATTGGCCCCTCCTTCTCCAGCAGAGCATCTGGTGGATTTGAACCACATACCTCTGGGATTGCAGTGCAGCATCTTGCCACTAGGCCACCAGAGCTCCCTCAACCCATGCACTATTCATCCATCAATCTTGTGTCCACCAACTGCCTCTGTCCATCCAGCCCCCTCTCCCTAACCCAACTCCTGCTCAGTACCCAGCCCTTCCTCCTTATTCTCTCCACTCAAGGTCCTTTCTCCAATTCAACTCATCTTCTCTATACCCAGCCCTTCCTTCCTCCCCCTTCTAACCCACCTCCTCTCCCTGACTCAGTTCCTCCCCTTGGTGCTTGGGCACAGCACAGAGAGAGGAGGAGGCTTGAGCTGAGCCATGGGGACTGAGCAGAGGAGTGGAGGGATGGCTAAGGCAGATATCAATGTCACTTGCATGTAGAGGTGACTTGGGCATCCTGTTCCCTGACCTATCCCCCATCCTGGCCTCTCACCCCAGCTGAGGGACGCCGAGGTAGAACGCGATGAAGAACGGAAGCAGAGGGCCCTGGCCGTGGCTGCCCGCAAAAAGCTGGAAGCGGAGCTGGAGGACCTGAAGGCTCAGACAGCGGCCGCTGGACAGGGCAAGGAGGACGCGGTGAAGCAGCTTCGCAAGATGCAGGTGAGGGCACAGTGGGCTGGGCCTGGGCTGAGGGGAGCCCAGGGTATCGTTGAACAACCCTCAGCATCACTCCAGAACCCGAGACCAGCTTACACCTCATCTCCATAAAGCCTCTAGCAGCGTCCAAACTCATCTATAATTTTATAAACGTTCCTGGTCCCTGGGTGTTACGGTTTGACTCCACTGCTAGCCAGAGAAGGTCCTGGCAAGCTGTTTCGAGGAGCAGTGGTGTTGGGTGCTTGTTTAGTTAGTGGGGGCTGTTAGAGGACCCCCAAGTACAGATCGATCCTCTCACACCGTAGAGGCTAAAGTCAGAATTCAAGGTGCCATCTCTGAGGAAGGTCCTTGGTATTAGGCTCCCCTGTCCCCTGAGTCTGGAAGGTTCTCAGCACAGGGACCTGGGTCGGAAGGATGCGTTCCACTGCTGGCTCTTCTTCTTTTTTTAAAAAAAAATTTATTTTATTTTTATCATTTGTGTGTGTGTGTGTGTGTGTGTGTGTGTGTGTATACCATCAAATCAGATTTGACTGGTACAGGAGGAGATTATTCCTCCTTCTCCAGCAGAGCATCTGGTGGATTTGAACCGCACACCTCTGGGATTGCAGTGCAGCTTCTTGCCACTAGTCTTCTTCTTTTTTTTATTCTTTTTTTTTAACCCCATCCCCCAAGCTGTCTCTTCTTAAAGGTGTGTCCCCTCTGGGCAGCACTGGTCTCCAAAGAACCCCCCAAACAGTAGTCATTTCCATTCCTGTTTCTACCAAAAGAAAACTCCTAGAACAGAGCAGGGGGGGAAATGTACATGAATGAAGACTAAGGGGGGGGGGGAAAGGTGACCCAAACCCAAAAATTAAAAAGGAAAAACTTCTGCATTTCCAGCTTACATCACCAAATAGCATTCCAAAAATAAAGTAACAGAAATAAACAGTAACATCTAGATGGCTAAGCCTGCCTGTAGCCAGACACTTTCCAGCTTGGCCCCATTGTTTAGCGAGCCTCTTTGCCTCAGTTTTTCTCCTCTGTGAGCATGAGATGATCAAAATCCTTGCTTATAACGGAGCCCTGGACAGGCATGTCTTTAGAAAAGGGAGCCAGGACATTTCTACACCCTTAGACTAGTTGCTGTCAAGTCATATAGTTGACCTTCCTTTGCATTTCTGAGCTGGGACATGTATGTCCTCAGATTAGGGAACCAGCACGTGTCATCTTTAGACTAGGAGCGAGTTAAACCTATATCCTTAGACTGAGGAGGTGGTACACCTTATGTCCTTAAAGTAGGAGCTTTTATGGCCCCCTATGGACTAGGAGCCGGTGCACACGTGTTCTTAGACTAGGGCTCCGTAATAACCAGCCCAGGCTCACTCAGCAAGTGGCTTGGAGGCTGACACCAGGTCTCCAAGAACACCCCACGCGTCCTGGGAAAATGATGTGGGCCTAAATGCAAGGGTTGCGGGCTCCCTGTGAGATAAGCCAGGCTGAACCAACCCTGCACTCCTTGTCCCGTCTACCCAGGCCCAGATGAAAGAGCTGTGGCGGGAAGTGGAGGAGGCCCGGACCTCCCGAGAGGAGATCTTTGTCCAAAACAAAGAGAGTGAGAAGCGTCTCAAGTGGTTGGAAGCAGAGCTCCTGAGGCTGCAGGAGGTGAGGCAAGGGAGGGCGGGGTCGTGTGAATGGGTGGGGCTTATGTGGAGAGTGGGCGTGTCCAGTCATGCTGCCTCCAATGCTGGCAAAGGGGTGTGGCCAGCCTTGTGCTCTAAGAAGTTGTTTGTAGGTGGAGTTTGTTGAATGGGCGGGGCAATCTACCTCTGATGCTGGCCAGGGGGTGTGGCCAACCTTGCTCTATGTTGCAGGTGGGTGGAGCTTGTTGAATGGGCGGGGCAAGCTACTTCCAATGCTGGCCAAGGGGTGTGGCCAAACTTGTGCTATAAGAAGTTGCAGGTGGGTGGAGCTTGTTGAATGGGCGGGGAAATCACCCTACCTCCAATGCTAACTAAGGGGTGTGGCCAATCGTGTGCTATGTGAAGTTGCGGGTTGGTGGAGCTTGTTCAGTGGGCGGGGCAATCACTACCTCCAATCCTGGCCACAGGGTGTGGCCAACTTGGCTTTAAGAAGTTGTGGGTGGGTGGAGCGAGCTTGTTAAATGGGCGTGGCAATCACTACCTCCAATGCTGGCCAAGGGGCGGGGCCAACCACTGGCTTCGTCCAGTACTGTATGAGCGTTGAGGAAGTGGGTGGAGTCAACCACATTGCCTCCAATGATGGCCTAGGGACCATCATTGCTTTATAAACTGGGGTGGGCAGAGCTTGGAAAGGAAGGTAGGAAGGGCTATCTGCATGCAATCTCCAATGCCAACACCGGGCAAGGACTTTGTCCTGGGCAAGCTTGGGAGGCCGAGGTCTGTGAGCAAGGGAGGGGCACGGCCACCTTTGGAATGTGTGGCAATTGGGCTAAAGAAGGTCACTTGAGTCAGAAAGAGACTGAGGCGAAGATCTAGAGGATGAGGGTGTCAGGGCTGTAGGGATGCAGAGGAGGGTCCAATGCAGAGAGGGGCAGGAGGACTCTTCATGGTAGTGAGAAAAAAGATAGTGCCCAGGGGTCTGGCTCAGTGACAGGGCTGCTGTCCCTTATTGGAGAAGATGCTGAGCTCAGTGGGGCGCTGATGTGGGTGAGGGGCCGTGGGTTGGGCAGCAAGAGGTGGACGTGGGTCAGCGGCCTAGAGAAAGCATCTGAAGCCAGTGTGTCGAAGCTTAGTACAAGGTTAGGCAGGAGCAGGATGTGAGTGTGCGAGGAATGGGTCGAGAGGGCTACAGAGCAAGGGCCAGCGAGGGGAGAGACCAGCGCCTGGACAAGGCCCCACTGACTGCCCCGCTCTCCCCTGTTACAGGAACTCGCTGCCTCAGACCGTGCCCGGCGACAGGCCCAGCAGGAGCGAGATGAGATGGCAGACGAGATGGCCAGCGGCAACCTCAGCAAGTGAGTGGCCCCTGACCGTGCAGACAGGTCACTGGCCATCCTGCTTTCTCACCCTCGCTACCACTGTTACCTCGTGCTGTTGTTCACATGCCACAAGTGGGGGCTTTAACAAACACAGTTTAGAAAACTGTTTAAAAACAGTTTTAAAAAAACATAGTTTAGAAAACTAGAAGTCTCTATCCAAGATGCCAGCTCTCGAGGAAGGCCACCTCTTTGCTGGCTCAAGAAAAGGTCCTTGACATCGGTCTTTCCTGAATCTAGAAGTTTCTCAGTGGGGGACGCTGAGCCTAAAGAATGCACCCCACTCCAGGTTCTTCTTTCCCAGTGGTTTTAAGTGAGGTCCCCTGATCTCTCCTGTTTAAACTCTTTTTTTAAAAAAAAAAAATTATTTTGTGTGTGTGTACCGTCAAATCAGATCTGACTGGTACAGGAGGCGATTGCCCCTCCTTCTCCAGCAAAGCATCTGGTGGATTTGAACCGCACACCTTTGGGATTGCAATGCAGCTTCTTGCCATTAGGCCATCAGAGCTCCTCCTGTTTAAACTCTTTTATATCTCAAAAGAGACTGACTGAAGATACAGCCCAGTCAGCATGTACAACTCAGTGTTGCCTCATTAACATAACTTTCACCCCCCCACCCTTTACCTCATTGACGTCATAGAGGTGAGGACTTAGAACACCTGGAATGATCAAGCAGATTATGTCATTGAGGATAATTACATAAGAGTGAGAACCGTGGTCTGGCTAAGTTGGCATGTTTCAGGCAGGGGGCTACAGTTTGGTCCCTAACACCCAGCCTCCCACTCTGTCCCTAGGGCAGCCATCCTGGAGGAGAAGCGGCAGCTGGAGGGGCGCCTGGGAAAAATGGAAGAGGAGCTGGAGGAAGAACAGAGCAATGCAGAGCTGCTTAATGACCGCTACCACAAGCTGCTCCTGCAGGTCAGCCCAGCCCAGCCCAGCTCCCCTCTGTCCTCTAGTCCCCACTCACCTGGGATTGTAACGATCGGTCTTCTTATTCACCAGACACAAGAAAGGGGCTATTTGACTTGGGTTTTGAAGGTTGAATAGGAGTTTGCAGAAGAGAGGTGGTGGGGACATGCACACATTCACTTGTTTTTCTGAACCATCTGAAGGTCTAGATCCTGGGATGAATTATGTGGTCTAGGTGCAGCCAGAGTGCTCCTTGCAGGCAAAGATGATAAAAGCTGTGTCTCGCATACTTTGGGCATGTTCTTAGAGGAGGCTACTCCTTGGAGAGGGACATCAATTTTGGAAAGGTAAAGGGTCTGGGAAAGAGAAGACCTTCAACTAGATGAGTTGACACAGTGACTGCAGCAGTGGGTGCAGATGTATCACAGATCACCAGGAAAGCTCAGGCAGGAACAGGATTCAGATCTGTTGTACATAGAGTCACTATGAGTGGTACTTGATTCAACAGCACCTAACGACAACAGTTAAAGAAAAGATGTGCCTCCCTTCTCCTCAATACGGAGTTCCCTAGGGAACATAGACAAGGAACTGTATTCCCATATGTTGTTGCCACTGAGTTAATTCTGACTAACGGTGGCCCCACCTGTGCAGAGCAGAATTACTTGAAGTGTGATAATGGAAAGATCCTGGATCAGAAGAATATAGAGTAAGGCACCCAGACAGGGAGAGGAGACCAATTTTTCTACAAGAGTAAAAAATGGGGATAGTAGGGAGTTCTGGGGGCCTAGTGGCAAGAAGCTGCACTGCAAACCCAGAGGCCTACAGTTCAAATCCACCAGATGCTCTGCTGGAGAAGGAAGGACAGTCTCCTCTTTTGCCAGTCAGATCTGATTTGAC